TGTCAAAATCTAGGTATTAAGGGCGAAAAAAAATATAATAGTGGTACAATTGAACCCTTCAGATTTACCCTTATACTATTTTCGAAGTAGGCAAGTAATAATATATAATAAAATCTATAAGTAATAAGACATGTTATTTACTTTCTCATAGATACTTGGCCTGCTAAACCATTTGCAACATAAAAATGCAATATGTAAACATTAATGCTGAGATAAAAGACAATGTAATATCAAGGCAAATACTCTATTACTAAAAGCTGATTGAAATCGCATAAAGTGTAAACTAATATCAAGATCACCTTAGGTTCAAATCTATTTTTGTTTATCTATCTGTTTTTACAATTTTCAACAGTATATTTACAGTAGATGGAACATGTAAGTAAAGCATTTCGATAAGGGCATCTTTTTGTTGCACAGGTTTTGCAAGAACATACGCGTGTAACTTTGGTGGGAAAATGATTTAAAAAATTTACAGGTTTCACTCCATTAACTTCTTCCCATCCAAAGTTACAGAGATCTTTCTCCACGTATAGGCAGAATTTGAAACATTTAAACAATTCCTAATTATATAAAACGTTCTTTTAATTTGACCTTGAATGGAATAAGATGTCGGCGGATGGTCAATAACAGGGACCAGTTTCTTAAATTCACTGTACCCTTCTCAGGCACATAGGGATTTGGATGTAGCGAAAGAAAGGGGTTAACGAATCCAAGAGTGTGAAGTTAGCACGCCGCTCGAGCACGCCAAAGTGTAAAGTTAGAAAGATGGTGATCACGTTCAAATTTGGAGGGATGCTTGATCAAGAGATGCTTTATCATCCCTCAAAAGGAAAATTCCTTACCAGCCGTCGAACTTAGGAAAATCATCGCTTGTATGAAAAAATATTGAAAATTTCATATTTTCTCATTTTTTCTTCGGACATCTAGATGGTGTTTCATGTTCAAAGTTGGAGGGATGCTTGTTCAAGGAATGCTTAATTATCCTTCAAAAGGAAAATTCCTTGCTAGCCGTCGAACTTAGGAAAATTATCGCTTGTATGAAAAAATATTGAAAATTTCATATTTTCTTATTTTTTCTTCAGGCACCTAGATGGTGTTTCACGTTCAAATTTGGAGGGATGTTTGTTCAAGGGATGCTTTATCATCCCTCAAAAGGAAAATTCCTTGCCAGCCATCGAACTTAGAAAAATCATCGCTTGTTGAAAACATATTGAAAATTTCATATTTTCTTATTTTTTCTTCAGTCACCTAGATAGTGTTTCACGTTCAAATTTAAAGGGATGCTGGTTCAAAGGATGCCTCATCATCCCTCAAATGGAAAATTCCTTGCCAGTCGTCGAACTTAGAAAAATCGTCGCTTGTCTAAAAATATACTGAAAATTTAGTTTTTTCTTATTTTTTCTTCACACACCTAGATGGTGTTTCACGTTCAAATTTGAAGGGATGCTTGAAGTGTTGCCTCATCATCCCTCAAAAGGAAAATTCCTAGCCAACCGTCGAACTTAGAAAAATTATCGCTTGTATGAAAAAATATTGAAAATTTCATATTTTCTTATTTGTTTGACGGCTTGCAAGGAATCTTCCTTTTAAGGGATGATAAAGCATCCCTCGAACAAGCATCCCTACAAATTTGAACGTGGAACACCATCTAGGTGTCTGAAGAAAAAATAAGAGAATATGAAATTTTCAATATTTTTTTATACCAGGTCGGCCAGGTACGATATTATGGAAACCATAGACCTTACGGCTTCGGGATTTTTTTTTTCTTCACTAAATCGGCCAAGAGAAATTGATGGAAATTATTTTCAAGTTTCTAGGATGACCGCTAGGGGGCGCAATTACGATGATATAGCTAAAAATTCAACTTTTATCAAGAAATCGCTATATTAAGATACTGTTTTAACAACAGAAATCAAAAGTTCATTAATTTTTGCGCCAGTATGGTTATTAGGCTTTTTTTCGTATCTTCAGTAATAAGGGTGGGGGAAGCTGGTGAAATTTTTTTTTAGAAATTGCTGTATTTTCCATACCCCTCATTCAAACTCATTCAATTTGGGTTTATTTGGAACAGAATTTCATTGTTATTAAGAACACCACTTCGTTCGAGGTCGCGGGATGATAAAGCATCCCTCGAACAAGCATCCCTACAAATTTGAACGTGAAAGACTATCTAGGTTTCTGAAGAAAAAATAAGAAAATATGAAATTTTCAATATTTTTTCATATAAGCGATGATTTTCCTAAGTTCGACGGCTGGCAAGAAATTTTCCTTTTGAGGGATGATGAAGCATCCCTTGAACAAGCATTCCTCCAAATTTGAACGTGAAACACCATCTTTCTAACTTCGCACTTTGGCGTGCTAACTTCACACCGGTAACGAATCCAAGCCCAAGCTATTCTGTCGCATGATCTTTTTCCAACTTTATGTTTATTTGTTGGAGACTTCCCAGCGAAGCCAGTCGTCAAGCACAGGCTAGTGCAAGAGATTGAATAAAACCTCTCACCTGAAGATTTGAATGTCTTCCCTTCAATCTACCGTTGTTGTGGATTATATTATAGATCGCAATTACGAATGGTAAAATTTCTCCAATGCTAAACTTTGGAGCAGCGATCCGTACAGACAGTACACTACTGCAAACATCGCAAGCAGTTTGTTCATTGAGCGGATTACGAACTCTCGATTCGAACCGAAACCGCCATGGATTTTGAACGCACTCCATGCAAATGCATCAGAATGCGTTCGAAATCAATGGCGGTTTCGGTTCGAATCGAGAGTTCGTAATCCGCTCCCTCTGTTCAACTAAAGTCTGTTTTTTGTTTAAAGATAAAAGTCAAAATGACATTTTCTTGGCAATACAATGTAAAATTGTCAATGCTTTCAAATTTTTTATGTTGAAAAGGCTTGTGTTGCCAACATAGTTACTAAATTTTTGACTTGGGGAATTATCTTTAAATAAAAAACAAACTTTAGACAAATTCAGGTCTTTGACAAATAAGACGAAGTTAGAAATTAGAGCTCGACAAAATTTTGCCGAATTTTCGATGAACACCAAATTTCAAATAATGGCAGCAAATATCCAGTTAAGTTCCTCAAAATTTTTTAGAGGGCGCGAGTGAACTTGGAGTGTTTTAAATTTTGGCGGTAAATGTCAATAGTTTAAAACTGATTAAATTGAGTAGAAAGAAAGATGACTACCTATGAACAATGGACAATGGATAAGTTAAAATATCTTCTAAAGCGTTTAGTGGCCCTTAGAGAATATTTTTAAAAGTGTCAGCGTCAGTTTGTCTTGAAACCACACATCAAACTTCAGTTTTGAGGTTAGAATTACAATCGAATTTTTACGCGCCAAAATTTAAAGAGATCCCAGTACAGAAGCGCCCTCTTCAACTCAACTGTCAATATTACATGCCATTGTTGGTGCAATAGGGAACTTTTTTTTTTTATTTCAAAAATGTGTTCTACTACACTAAAAACATAGTCATACCAAATATCAAGCATTAAAAATCAGCCGTTAATTTTTTATGAATATTTGAAGTTACGCTCGAAACATGGCCATTTGAAACGACCGATTAGTGTGACGTCATTATCAGCAGCACATGACGTGGTAGCGGCGCGACCCGATTATTACTGCCTTGTGACGTCACGACCCATAGAAACACGTTTTTGATAGCGTCATGAATTTCGAATTATTTGGTATTTTCAATTGAAGATTTCGGACACCAGACATAAGATATAATATTTTTTTCTTAACTGCATCATTTATTAGGATGAATATTATTGTGTTTTAATAGGCAAGAGGTTCCTATCGTTAAAGAATTGAATAGCACATTGGGAGAAGCTGACTTTCGTATTGTGTTACACTTTGACTAGGCTGGACTGGGATGGTTCAGGGTTCAGTCAAGTTTTCGCTCTGTCAAATGACACAGATGTTGTTGTGTTGCTACTTAGATTTGTTTTTAAATCAGGAATTATCGTTTTAATAGAAAAGATAAAACTTCATATTCTTTATCGTCTGTCTGTAGGATTGCCCAAGGTTTTCATCAAGGCTCACATTTCTTACTGGTGATGTCACCGTAAGCAAGATTGGAAAAAAAACTTGGTGCTCTCACTGCTGATTCAGTGAGATTCCTGGAAGAATTTGCTGAAACTGAAGAAGAAAAAGCTTTAAAAAATCTTGTGTGAAACATTTGACGATCTGCGGTACAGTGAATTCTTTACTGACCTTCCGCCGACATCTAATTCCATTCAAGGTCACATAAAAGGGCGTTTTATACAGTGTCTCCCATAATGTTCGCTACATTAATATGGGGAAATTTTTTTGAAGGATATAAAATGTTTTCTTATGATGTGCAATCGATCCTGCATGCTCCAAATGTCGCAGATAGCCCTAAAACATCCTTCTAATCACTTTTTTTTAATAACTTTTTCCGATATTTTGCCATGTAACACCATTTTTTGCATTTCCATATCCAAATTTCAGAATTTGTGACCACAACAGTGATCACATGACCAATGTCAAAATATACTTTTTAATGATCGGACATGCAGGATCTATCGCACATAGGAATAAATTACATATCCTACAAATTTCCAAGCTGCCCCATTTTGTGTGCTGTGATTGCTTATAGAACCACCCATCTCTTCCCGTGTAAACTTTGCCATAACAGCTTAAAGTTCAACAGTTCAACAATAATTTATTTCAGGAATATGTATATATTTTCAATGCTGTCAGAGCTCCGATAGCGATAACTATTTGTGTGAATTTTAAAAAAGGTAGGTAGACTATTGTAATTAAATGACACTTATAAATAATCCTAATTACGGCAAATAATCTAAACCTTCCTGTTTTTACGTTTAAACAATGAATTATTTATAAATAATGTTAGTTGCTGCTTCGTAAAAACCATAATTGATAACACAACTTGCAGGTTGAAAAATTATTACACAGACATGTATATACCTAGCAACCTCCAGTCCAACAACACAATTTCCTGAAAATGTCACCATCAACAACAGCAATCATTTGTTTTACAATTCTCTTCACAAACTTACAAGCTCAACAGGAACTGATCGTTTGCCCACCGGATTATTGCAAAGACAACCCTTGCCAAGGCGATTCTTCTTGTCCCGATGGGGAAATTTTGAGACCATCGTTTTGCGGTTGCTGCGAGAAATGTGTCCCGGAAATTCGTAAGCTTACAAAAACGAGGTTTTGGTGGATTTATAACTGATTTTTTTTTTAGCTTTTGGAGGTAGCTGCTTAGAATTGATTGGCGTGCCACTGCCGTCTATATGCGAACCTGGAACCGTGTGCTGCGATGGCACATGTCAATATAGTTGTGAATAGAAATTGTTTGGAACTGGGTTTTTGTTTCTGGGTCTTGAAATTACATAGTATCGGGTCTTCAAAAAAAAAAACAATCAAAGATTGCTATGGATTTAAAAATGTATGTCTTAGCAATATTTTTCTTTAATTTTTCAATGAACTTTAATGTCAAAATGTCATGTCAAAAATTCTGACCAATAACGAAACCGTAATGCGACGTACGTTTTCGTAATCAAAGCAATCTTCGATTGGTTTTTTTTTTGAAGACCCGATATAAATAAAGAAATTTGAATTGTCTTTCAGACATATTTTTTTTTGTGAACGCTCGAAAGCAAAAGATTTCTTTAAATAAAATGCCATTCCACCAAATAAGTGTCCTACTCGAAAGATTGCTTTAAAAAAACCATCAGATTCTTGAAAAAATTTAAGAAAGAAAAACTACCTTCAAATGAAAAAAAAAAAAAAAAAAAAAGATGAACTCGTATTTTACCTCTATGACTTTATGTATTCGGATCGAAAGACAAAGTGGGGTAATTCAAGCCTCCCATGCTGTATAATATAGAAATGAGTATGGAAAACTACCCCAAATATGACATCAGTAATGTTCGGTATGAATTTAAATAATGAAATAATGGAATAATTGATCAAACATGATAAAGGACTTGATGGATGAAATTCAAAAACAATGTTCTTAATAAAGCGAAATGTGGAAGAATGTTTGAAGAGTTTCAATTTCTAAGACACACACTTGTAGATTTTTCTATTTGTGGTAAATCGGTTGTAGATGAAATTTTGTATTTGACACAAGTGATAGGACAATATGTTACAAAACTTATGTTTGTACGCGTTGAAGCGCATATATCATTCTTTCCATTTCTGGAGCGAGTGCGGATTTCCTTTTCACTTGTTTACAAATATGAACATAGAATATGGTCTGGGAAATGAAAATGTTTTTAGTCATAATGGGCCACTTTCACGTGCCGGGAATATGGCAAATTATAATATTTTTTGACGCAGATACATCAATGCAACCAAGAATGAACAATATCTTGCAAGATTTTAGTCAGATTATTAAATAAATTAATAAATAAAAACTAAAAATTTAAACGAAAAATCACGTGATCGAAAACGCTCTGTGATTGGCTAAAGCCGATTTTGACATTTTTGTTGCCACATGTAGAAATGCGAAATTTAAATGAGTTAATAAGGATTATACCTATCCTTTATTTTTTTATAATATAGTAAAAGACGAAAATAGTTTCTAGCTAGTGAAATATGTAATGATTTACTAATGAGAAATTTGGCATCCTTGATTTTCTGGTGTGTGACGTCACACACCAAGTTCATTTTTTCACGCCAGTTTTTTCAAAAATAAGCGTTTTTTTTTTTCGGAAAAAAAGTATACAGATAGTATTAGAATGACTAAAAGAATAATTTGAAAATGTTTTTGAAAAATGTGAAAGTGGCCCATTACAGTTCACCTTTTTATAAATTTTCGGTGCATGATTTTTATAAGGGTTTAGTTTGGAATTCTGAAGGTTTTTTGGATCAATCTCCATCATCCTACTGTTGCAGCTATCGTTCAATAGTACAGCGGATTAGCTAACCTATTGTGCACTTTTTGATAAAAAACCAAATTTGGCAGAGGTAGACCGCTGGTATACATATGAAAAAATTTGGATGTGAAGCCCTCGGCCAACTGCAGCCATTTTGGAAAATGGCCGCCAGTGGACACCCCGAAAGACAACGGAAGTTAGGTAAAGTTTGCTGCTGAAGGTTTAAGTGAATGTACTATAGAGGTTGTTTCAAAGAGGTTGTGACGATTTACGGAGTTGTAGGGGACATTGTCATGATTTTTTTTGGCATAGATACCGCTGGTCAAAAATGAGCTGTTTGGGCTCCAGAGTAATTTTTTTTTCAACATTTTCAGGTACCTATCAGGAAGTACCCAGTTTAAAGCCATTAGGGGAAATCAAAGCAGATCTTGTTGACAAATCTGTTTTTATTGCAAGACTTGAGGAGGAAAAACAAATGCTCCTTGAGGCGGCAGAATCTATGGAGTGCGAACTAACAAGTGAAAACAGGTTATTGAAAGCTAAACTGAAGGAACTTGAAAAGAAAACTGATAATATTCATCCAATAATCAGTGCCTCTATACTAAAAATAATGCTCGTCAAACATCCGACACAAGCAGTATGAGTGAGGTCGAGTCCAGACTAGCAGAGTTACAATCCACCTTAGCTGGGCATAAAAGAACTGAGTATACTCTGGAAGCTGACTACGAGGCTAGTAGGGAGGAGCTGCGCAAATCTGTTGATGCATTATCTGTGATCAAAAGTCTTAATGCACAAATGACAACGATTGAGACCCTATACCAGGATAATCTATTTTTCTCTAATGAATTGGAGGGACTCAAGCAACTTTTCCCTAGAAGATCCACCCACTCTACCGAGCACTCTACTGTTCAGGACTGCTGTCCTGTCCGATGATCTACGTCCGGGCGCAGGAGATGCTGCGCAGAGAATGATGGACACTCTTTGTTTCATGAATTATCTGCCGTTGATCCTCTTTTCGCTCAAAACACGTCACTTACTTGGACCGGCGATTCTTCTAATCCACAAAAAGATGATCCCAAACAAAGCGCACCCTCTCCTAGCAAAATAAACATAGTGGTATCAGGGCTTCTGAATAATTTGTGCTGCAGAGAATAATATTCTATTTATGGCGAAAGTCATCCAGGATTTTCTCTGTTTCAAGTTGCAAACAAGATTACTCAACTGACTACATACTTTACTTCAAGGGATAGTGTTGTGATTTGCATTGACTTGGACTTGATTGGTGATTTAAACACTTATTATCAGGAAAGGCTGTTCTCTATTGGAAAATACACCAATCTCATTTTCTCTCTGACATACTCCTCCGCAAAGAATGGGGTGTACTCGAATCATGTTTCATTTTGGCAGCAAACTCTCATTTTAAGGAACACTTCAACCAGAATCTATATATATAAAACACAGTTGTGTTGGTGTTGAGCAGTTATAACTCGAGAACGGCTGGACTGATTTTTATGATTTTGGCTTTATTGGATTTGCCATCCTACGATAATAAATCGAAAAAATCCAAAAAAAAAACAAACAAAAAAAAATATCTATTTTACTTATTTATGAAAAAAACTCACTAAGCCCGCATACGGCGCCATCTCTTATAACCGATACCAAGTTTACCGTCACATTTTCATTGCAAACCATGTGGATTTTATTGTCACACACTTTGCACAAAAACAATTTGAGGAAAGCACTTTATTTTTAATTGTTCTTCACAGTAAAAATGTCCAAAAATAAATAGAATAACAATGTTTTAATTGTGTATTTTATTTTGTTGTTGGTTCGTTCAGTTCGAAAGAGCGCGAACTGGTCTCCCTGTCATTTCTTGACGCTTGACCATTGACGTTCTGTGGCTAAGTTCCGTTTCTCCTCGTAGGCATCCCTTGACAGCCGTGTTCCGTGGCGACTGTTCGGAGTGCTCCGTCCGTCTGGTGTCGAGTGGCAGAGAGCCAGGTTATGAGTCCGCCACAACCATTTTGTATACGGCGCCATACATGATAGGTACCTAGAACGAAGCTCGCCGTTGTGCGGTAATTTCATTGCAGATACAGTAGAACAGAATACTGCTAAGGAACTGGAGCTATTCCAAACAGAACTATTCCACTATTCCGATCAGATAAAGTGGTGCAGAAAGAGTAGATCAGATAGAATAGTGCAGATACAGTAGAACAGATGGAGTATTGCAGTGCAGATAAAATGAAACAGGGCTGCGCTGGAGATTTTTTTTGTTTTCTTTACATTTTTTGAACATTCTTGTGCCTGAGTTTATTTATTTGGTGGTAGACTTTATAAGAATAATGCCCACAAGATGCCTAAAAAGGGATGATGTAAAATTTTAATTTTAGGTGACTTCTGATCCAGAGAGTAAAAATTAATTTTCTTCAACCAAAGCCAAATTCACCATCGAAAAAAACTGAATTTATTTCAGTTAATAAAATCTGTTTTTTTTTAAAGATAATTCCCCAATTCAAAAATTTAGTAACTATGTTGGCAACACAAGCCTTTTCTACATAAAAATGTTGAAAGCATTGACAATTTTACATTGTATCGCCAACATAATGTCATTTTGACTTTTATCTTAAAAAAAAAAACGCACTTTAGATACGTTAACACAACATTTAATAGGTATTTATTAATTCAGAGGAGGAACGAAGTTCGCCGGGTCAGCTAGTTTTCAATAATATTAAAATTATTGGTAAATATAGAATGCCTAGCTAGAAACTCACTATGTAAACATTTGGCTATCTATGTAAAATCTAGCTATAAAATGAGACATAACTTTGCCTTGTCCTGTGTGAGGCGCGCAATCCTGAGCGGTGGACCCGTTAAGCACTGGCAGGGAGCTCTCGGGCATTGTTGTGCAAGGTTCTTTTTTAGCACAGAACATTCTAACTCGAACATCTCCTTGATGCTTGATGCTTCTAAATATTCAGTCCGTCCGTAACAAAATCGACGACCTTTTTATTCTTGCGGAGGAGTTGAACTTTCCAAGCATAGTTCTGTTACCGAACATTGGCTGAAGAACCATTATATATTCCTGAATTTTTCATCGTTTCAAAATTTTGCAGATCAAATGCCCAACACGGAGACATAGTTGCTCTAGTACATGAGTGCATTTCATAGTGTTTTTCTCCCTTTGATAGGTTGGATGACTTGTTGGTTGAAGAGCAGTTTGAATTTTCAATTATTAATTCCATAAAAGTTAATTTTTTTATAGTTTGTATGTATCGTTTTCCGGGATGCAATGTAAATGTATTTTTCCTACAGCCGTGCGGAAAAATCGATTTTCCGCACTGATATGCGTGCGGAAAATGAGTTTTCCCGCACGGTGCGGTAAAACTTTTACCGCACGCATATCAGTGCGGAAAAAGTTTTTCCGCACGGCTGTCAGTGCGGAAAAAATTTTGCCGCACTGATATGTCAAAAAAAAAGGAAAAATTTTACATTTTTACGCCTGTAGGAAAAATATTGTACCTAACACTTGTGGAAAATATTTTTCCGCACTTGTTAGGTAAATAGCTATTTCGAAAGACTGGAGGTGATTCTCTCTAAATTCCCATCAAATCATAAAAACGTGCTTGCCGGTGATCTTAATTAAATTTTGAGGATAAGGGCAACAGAAGCCACTCATCACTTGTCAAACTTGTTCGAGTCCTTTACGGCCGAATTTATAGTCGCTCCTTGAGGTTCCCTCAGACCTTAAGGAAGCCTTGAACGTTTAGAATTGACATGATTGTAACTTGTCAAATTGTAGCAAGTGTCCATTCTAATCTCACAACGTTCAAGGAAGAGTCAAGGAACGACTATAAATTCGGCCCTTTTAATCTCAATAAAATGCTTGTCCATAGTCCTAGAAGGGTAACACAAACCTCTTCCACTACGATAGATTTCATCGTCTCTAGCATTCATGAAAATGTCTCTTGTGATGTCTTTGACTCGCGTCTTTCTGATCATAATGCTGTTATCGCCAATATACCAATGCGCTCACTTACATCATCTGAGGCTGAAAGCTTTGAAAGAATTTATAGTTCCCGCAATTTTGCCTGTCACTTTCAATTGGGCTTCTACTTTTCAGGGGGCAGCCCCTTTGCTGGCTTTCCGCACGGCCTTGGTCGACATTGTTAATGTTTCCTTCCCTGTGTGCAGGATAAAGCCGAAACGCAAAGACCACAAAAAGTGGTTAACACTGGGAATCCGCACTTCCGCTTCCAATATACGTTTTCTGAGCAACCTTAGAAAATCTTACACTAACAACACGGATTCAGTCGTACAACTCAACATACAAAAAAATCTATGGAGCGATCATTTCTTCACTGTCATTACGAAGTGGTCAATTTCTGATTTAACAATTTTTCAGGAGATCTACTGTTCATTTTGTCTAGCATCAGAACTTGTTTTTTCATATATAGCACAAAAGAAGATATGCCAGATCGTCACAACATAGATATGGTTCTTTTAAGTATTTTTATGGAAATAACTCATTTTCGCCAAATATTGAGATAGGCCCCTTCGTATTGATAGCGACGATTTGTAAGGCAAAAAATCTTTATTATTCTAAACGCCTTACAAACTCCCATAACAAGCAACGTGAATCATGAGCAATTGTAAACGAAATTAGTAATAAAGTCAAAAAAACATCAAAGATCAACATTGACGGAAATCTCCCCAATAGTTATTATTGTTCCATAGGCAACATCGTAACAAAAGATCTTAGCTCTCAAATAGATCCGCTCCCCTATCTTTCTGATATTAGCATTCCTGAATCCCTGGATATCCCACATAACAGTAAAAGAACATTCATATTCTCAGAATATTCCCTCAAAGTGCTTTTTGGAATGTTCTTTTAGGAATGTTTAATGAATATTCTAAGATCGTTTCGATTGAAATATTCATTTTTGGACGTTCTATTCATGTACTAGGAATGTTGCTTCTATGCACCTACCTGAAAGATTGTGCTAAGAACCTACTTTATATAACATTATCTGAATATTGTCATACGAATATTATTATAAGGTACCCTAAAAAAAGTTTTTTCGGCTAATATCTCTATCAAGTATCGAGATATACCTACTAAGTTGTGCTGAGAAGTTTATGTAGGTAGGTACACATGATAAGAATATTTCCATATTGTTCACCTAATTATATAAAGTACTTACTCAAAAATCTTGATTGAACAATTAAACAATAATTCTCTCTCTACAGTGACCGCCAAAAAGTTTGCAACAAATGGGAAAATATTTTATTATTAAAGATATCAACAAAAATGTTACGTGGGATCGATTCAGCATACCCATCAACAAAAAAAATCACTGTCACAGATGTCATGTGATTACTGTCATGGCGGGAAATTTAAAAAGTTCGCCTCAAATATGTGAAAAATGGGGTAAGATAACCAGATATCAAAAAATTGTAGAAAGAAAATTGGTTCAGAATTCGATTTTACGTCTATGTGTCAACTTTTAAAAGGGTACAAGGATTTTTAAAAAATATCAATTTTTTGGCCTGTTTTCTGGTAATTTGAAAAATATCAAAAACTTTTCGCATGGTTCACATAATTCAAAGTGAAACTAACAAAAAAAAAAATCAGTGCGGTAGTTCTGCTTAATTGTCCCGCGTCAAACTGTAAAAAACCAAAAATTCATTTTCAGACTACTCTGATCTTGTTGCAATGACCTACAGAGAACAAAAATTTAGAATAACAAATTTAGAATTATCATGAAATGTTTCTAAATGATCCAATACCTCTTTTCTAAATTTAATCAAGCCAATATTTTTGCTAAAAAATTGATATTTATTAAAAATCCTTGTACCTTTCTAAAAATTGACACATTGACATTTCTGGTCGTCTAACCCCACTTTTCACATATTTAAGGAGAACTTTTTAA